CTTTTTCCTAGCCATCAAATTGCCCACTGATGGCCCACCTTTTGCTTTGACCTAGACACAACCTCCAACTCATCAAAGGATCCTTTTTACCCTCCCATTTTCATTCCCACAAAAAACCACTCGTCATTTCTTCAATCCTCTTAGCTATCACTCCCAACAACTTGAAGAGGGATAAGATATGAATAGGAATACTAGTCATCACAAGCTGGAGTAGAGTCAATCTCCCCACCCCCCCAAAAAAAAAAAAAAAGAAAGCCTTCTTACCACCATTCAACATTTTCCCTACCTTCGAATAATAGGATCCCAAAAAAACAAACAATGAGTTACCACGTAATGGAAAACCTAAGTACTTCAAAAGTCAACCTTAAACAGAACACCCTAAGGTCAAAGCCAACAATAAACCTACCCCTGGTTTTTAATTCCAGCAATTATAGTCTATTCCGTATTCTAATCAAAACAAAGACATCAACTATCTTCTTATCGTTAGGGAGTTTCTCCTTTTCGCGCTACGAGAAGAAAATAATGTCATCAACAAACTGCAAATGTAACACCGAAATCTTATCCCTCTCAATCACAAAACGCTCAACCAGATTACATTCCTCCACTCAAACTACTAGCCTACTCAATCCATCCACCACAATAGCAAACAAAAACGGCGATAAATGATATCCAAATCCCCTCGAAGCCTTTAAAAACCTCTACTTCAAGTCCAAAAAAAATATTCTCTACTCTGAGTCCAAAAAAAGTGTTTTAGGCAATGAGTGGAATTTATCACATGCCTCATAATTGCTCAGTAGGGCTTAGATGGAAAAGCAATAAGCAAGCAAAACTTTTTGTTTGAAAGGAAAGAAGGGGTGAGCAATTTCAATCATTACTACTATCTACTACGTCACTTTTCACATACCATGCAAGGCCGCTTAAAATGCATTCAGGTAAGAAAAATGATACCATAAACCTAGATTTTGGCGCTAATTTTATCATATTGCAGGGAGAGGGTACAATAGCTAAAAGTGCTTTGGATAACTTCATAATGTTGCTCTATTACTTCCATCGGATAGAAATTCACTTTTGCCACAGAGAAGTAAATAGTATTCAATGATGGCCTCGCATGCTGCATTTATGGTAAGAATTAATAAATTTGCAGTTATGGTAAGAATTAATAAATTTGCAGTTATGGCAAGAATTAATAAATTCCAGTTCTTTTTCTTTGTACTTAAATAGTAGCTCATTCTATTATTTTTTTATGTGCTACCCCACTACTAATAGCTTGAACCAAGGAATGTAAATAGCCTCTCTTTGTCAAGGTAGACTTGTACCCCCAGACTTCTGAAATATAAACTAAATATCATGTCTCTGTCAGTACTGCTTAAACACCATATNTCACTACTAATAGCTTGAACCAAGGAATGTAAATAGCCTCTCTTTGTCAAGGTAGACTTGTACCCCCAAACTTCTGAAATATAAACTAAATATCATGTCTCTGTCAGTACTGCTTAAACACCATATCATATTCCTCCACTTCCTTCTCATAGAAGTGCTCAATAATTAATAATACTAAAGCTCCCACACTTCTTCTCCCTTCTTGACTCAATATTAGTGGAAGATAATGAGTTATATGCCTCGCATGTTTGGACATCCCACCAAGTTAGCATGTCTTTGCCTTATTCAAAATTAGGTTAATTCAAAATAGTCAAGCATGAAAAACATGCATATCACATAGTTGCCAGACTTCTATATATAGGTAACACCTAAGAGACTTAAAACAGTTAAGACAAAAAACTCCAGGGTATGTGACGCTAACCCATCAACCTATTACAAAAAAATTCACTCTCTTAAGCGAATTCAATATGAACTCAAAAGATAATTGGATTCAACTTAACTACACCTATCGAGGCTATGCACTGAATGAATTAAAACCCCATCAAAACAAACCTTCTTGCCTCTCTATTTTTTTTCCCCGTTACCCAGCTAAAATTTCCGTTTGGTCCACTTATATCATACCCCCCTCAATGAATATTCATTTGTCCTCCTTCTAATGGGTTCATTAAACCCAATATCTTATTACAAATAATTCCAACAAATTCAAGAGAAAAAGAGGCATTTACATATTATAGAGATGGTGTGATTCAATTCTCTTTTTTTTTTGGCTCCTAGTCTTACGAGAAAGACACATGATTCAGTATTGGGATAGAAAAAAATTGGAAACAAATTTACGCTTGTTGAAGATGAAGTTTGGAAATAGAATAATTCTTTCTGTCATGTTTCCTCGATTAATGTCAACTAAGATAATATGTTTCAATTATTGATTAATAGTGAGTGAAAGGTGACATCTAGAGGTTCGACATTACAAGTTAATTCTACTCCACTAATAACAATAGGCAGCATAGGAGAAGAAGCACTACACCTAAGAATCAACAACATGAACACTTAGTTACAAATTACCCTTTTCTTATTAGGATCGGGATTAACAATAATGGTCAGTACAACAAACATCCATCTCGTTTGTAATTTGGATACCTAATTCCTGAAAAATTAGAAGGTTGGCTAGAGATTTCTTGTAAAAACACGAGCCTTGCTTAGTTTATAATGAGAATATTTCAATATTTTTTTTTATTTTATTATTTTCCTAATTATACATATAAGAGAGGAGTCGTATGAAATGAAAATCTCACCGAGATTCTTTGAATTGAATGATGACTGTAACAAATGTCAGCTCAATCTGAAGAACAGTTCAATTGTGTAGCCAAGCTTTATAGAGTGCCCAAAACTCAGCACCTAAGTCTAAACAATTGTGAAACTTAATGGAAAACCAAGATCAGAGTGCTCAACATAAACACTTCAGCTTCTAAATTGGCATCATGACTTCATTATAAGTATGTACATTACCACCAGGCACTTCAGAAAAGGCAAGGGCATTGATCTCTAAACATAATAGACTGCAGCTAATGCAGACCAACAACCCAACACCTCAATCAGCTAATATGACAATATTGGTACAATTGAGTGCACCTCAAAAATAGGCAGCAAAGTATACCAGAAAAGCTAGTCATTAGAAAAAAGTTATTAGTATAATAGGCCTGACGAATAACTTCATCAAAAATGATATGTATGTGTAGTTATGGTGTTAGTTGCAGATAATGACTAATAATTCTAGCTGTAACTGAATATCTTATACATGTATTAAANGACATCCCACCAAGTTAGCATGTCTTTGCCTTATTCAAAATTAGGTTAATTCAAAATAGTCAAGCATGAAAAACATGCATATCACATAGTTGCCAGACTTCTATATATAGGTAACACCTAAGAGACTTAAAACAGTTAAGACAAAAAACTCCAGGGTATGTGACGCTAACCCATCAACCTATTACAAAAAAATTCACTCTCTTAAGGGAATTCAATATGAACTCAAAAGATAATTGGATTCAACTTAACTACACCTATCGAGGCAATGCACTAAATGAATTAAAACCCCATCAAAACAAACCTTCTTGCCTCTCTATTTTTTTTCCCCGTTACCCAGCTAAAATTTCCGTTTGGTCCACTTATATCATACCCCCCTCAATGAATATTCATTTGTCCTCCTTCTAATGGGTTCATTAAACCCAATATCTTATTACAAATAATTCCAACAAATTCAAGAGAAAAAGAGGCATTTACATATTATAGAGATGGTGCGATTCAATTTTCTTTTTTTTTTTGGCTCCTAGTCTTACGAGAAAGACACATGATTCAGTATTGGGATAGAAAAAAATTGGAAACAAATTTACGCATGTTGAAGATGAAGTTTGGAAATAGAATAATTCTTTCTGTCATGTTTCCTCGATTAATGTCAACTAAGATAATATGTTTCAATTATTGATTAATAGTGAGTGAAAGGTGACATCTAGAGGTTCGACATTACAAGTTAATCCTACTCCACTAATAACAATAGGCAGCATAGGAGAAGAAGCACTACACCTAAGAATCAACAACATGAACACTTAGTTACAAATTACCCTTTTCTTATTAGGATCGGGATTAACAATAATGGTCAGTACAACAAACATCCATCTCGTTTGTAATTTGGATACCTAATTCCTGAAAAATTAGAAGGTTGGCTAGAGATTTCTTGTAAAAACACGAGCCTTGCTTAGTTTATAATGAGAATATTTCAATATTTTATTTTATTTTATTATTTTCCTAATTATACATATAAGAGAGGAGTCGTATGAAATGAAAATCTCACCGAGATTCTTTGAATTGAATGATGACCGTAACAAATGTCAGCTCAATCTGAAGAACAGTTCAATTGTGTAGCCAAGCTTTATAGAGTGCCCAAAACTCAGCACCTAAGTCTAAACAATTGTGAAACTTAATGGAAAACCAAGATCAGAGTGCTCAACATAAACACTTCAGCTTCTAAATTGGCATCATGACTTCATTATAAGTATGTACATTACCACCAGGCACTTCAGAAAAGGCAAGGGCATTGATGTCTAAACATAATAGACTGCAGCTAATGCAGACCAACAACCCAACACCTCAATCAGCTAATATGACAATATTGGTACAATTGAGCGCACCTCAAATAGGCAGCAAAGTATACCAGAAAAGCTAGTCATTAGAAAAAAGTTATTAGTATAATAGGCCTGACGAATAACTTCAGCAAAAATGATATGTATGTGTAGTTATGGTGTTACTTGCAGATAATGACTAATAATTCTAGCTGTAACTGAATATCTTATACATGTATTAAACTCAATAACATTTACCAAGTCCAAATTCACACTTCAATTTGAGATTATTTGTTCCAACTTCTTAACAATTTGGTTTGACACTAACATCCAAGCCTAGAATAATTCATTTTCACATCTGATGTTCATAACTACCAGACGTTATATCTGTTTTCTGCTGCTTATTGTAGCTGCTAGGCGACAGCCAAGGCATGCACTCAACCATGACACCATGAGCACCCGGGAAGGATTCAAAAAGTCATACTCAAAACCAGGAACATAATTTTATAGTTCCAAGAATAATAAAGAGTAAGAAGAAGTCACCTCAAATGCATTCTTCAGAAAGTCAAGTTCCTTGTCTAAATCATTGATAGCCTGATTATATGCCTGCATTGGAGATGACTGGCTAGTAGTGTGAATCTGCAAAATCCCAATCATACCGCTCATTAGAAGGATACATGACACAATGCATTCTGCCATGATTCGCCAGTTTCTATAACATCAGACTAAGGAGAGAAAAGTTTCAACAAAAAACATACTGCAATAAGAACAACTGCTAAGACACAGTAAATATTATTCTAACAATTTGACTTATCAAATTAAGTTCCAACCATCTGATTTCAAAACTCTTATTCGGCACAAAAATGAGTTTCAAATTAAAATTCGTTGCATAAACAAAGCCTGAACAACCAATTATAATGAACTGGAACAGATCAGCTAAAAATGGAACCTACATAACAATACTCAATTTATTTGCCAAAAATCACAGCTTTGTGGACAAACCACATTGACCCATTGACTCAAGTTAGTAGAAAAAACTACTATCTTTTCCTTCTCTTCAAAGGAGCTACTACCTGGGATTACTTACTCAGACACATGTTCAAACATGGCTTACATATATTCTACAACACTCTGAAAGGAATCCAAATCTTATAAAATTTCTCATACTTTTTAGTTTTAATGAGGCAAAACATCTAGAATAATTATTTCTCATTCTGTCTGGTTTTAATGAGGCAAAAAATCCAGAAATTATCTGCTTAAATCAAATAGAAAAAGTTTTCTGGGTCTCATGCCTTGTCAACATAAGTATAGAAGTATACACTCAGTTTTAACTTTTATGCTTTAGCCCAACTAATGCATGTATACTTTCTTTTTTTTTAACGGACTTTTGCTTTTGGGCAACTAATGCATGTATACAATCATATAAAAATCAATTAAAGTTGGCATGTATTATCACCATACAAATTGCTAGCAATCCATCAGTCATGGCAAACAAGAAGCAGAACACACTACCATCGCAATAGAACATCTGTAACCCCAGATTGACTTGCACTCAGGGGATGTTTGGATGTGCAGATGAAATGAAATCCTTTCATCTTAGCATTTTTTTCAAAAAAAAAATAACAGCTTGGGTCTCATAGGTTATAGTTTGCAAACATATTAAAAATTTGGCCAACTACGATCGCATACCCCCATTAAGAATCAAAAAGTTGACTCGCACAAAACCTATGTTCAGTTCCAAAACAACAAATTTAAACGAAAATCCGTTTATATGGATATCAGAACATGGCCCTAGTACCCATCATTAACCCACATATACAAAGTTACAAACTTACTGCTGCTACTACTGCCACTACTACCATGAAAAAAGAGATTCAAAAATACTGACCCTGACTATGATTTTGTATTGAAGAGGGTGAGGCAACTTGTAACCAGCGAAGAGGACATTCTTGTCCCTGTGCAATTGCCTGTGATAGCGTGCAATAAAAAAAATGACAAAAAAAAAAGAGGAGGTTTTCGGATTAGGGTGTAAGAAAAAACACAGAATTAAACACAATAACAGAGAAATTATCTGAAGTCCAGTAGGGTTTACATGCGAACAATGTTTCCGATGGTGTGGTCTTCTCTCTCGATTGTGAATGAAGCCGCATTTATGATCTTCGTGTCCCTCTCGTACGAAACCCTAGAACCATTTGCAGTCAAAAAAAACAGTGTATACAACTTATGATGAACAAATACATATACATAGAAATTCATAATGAGTGTGAGGGAGAGATAGAGATTACTTCTTGGTGCCCTCAGGAACGACGAATCGCTCGTAACGATCGGGAGCGTTCATGGTTTCCTACCTCTCTCTTGCTCGCCACTGGTGTGTGTGCGTCACAGAGTTGAGAGTATGGGTTTAACTGAGTCATAAGTTATAACAAGTTTTTGGGAAAATTTGAGTCAAACCCCTTCTATTTTATCATATGCTAGGGGCTAATCCGAGACACGGGGCTAATCCGAGACACGGTGCAACGTAAGTGAAAAGCGATAAATTTAAGAGGATAAAAAATTTAATGTTAATAATTTTGAAAAAGATGTTGGAGACCGTTAGGTGAGTTTATTTGAGACCCTCGAATAAACTTGTTGAAATNCCAACTACGATCGCATACCCCCATTAAGAATCAAAAAGTTGACTCGCACAAAACCTATGTTCAGTTCCAAAACAACAAATTTAAACGAAAATCAGTTTATATGGATATCAGAACATGGCCCTAGTATCCATCATTAACCCACATATACAAAGTTACAAACTTACTGCTGCTACTACTGCCACTACTACCATGAAAAAAGAGATTCAAAAATACTGACCCTGACTATGATTTTGTATTGAAGAGGGTGAGGCAACTTGTAACCAGCGAAGAGGACATTCTTGTCCCTGTGCAATTGCCTGTGATAGCGTGCAATAAAAAAAATGACAAAAAAAAAAGAGGAGGTTTTCGGATTAGGGTGTAAGAAAAAACACAGAATTAAACACAATAACAGAGAAATTATCTGAAGTCCAGTAGGGTTTACATGCGAACAATGTTTCCGATGGTGTGGTCTTCTCTCTCGATTGTGAATGAAGCCGCATTTATGATCTTCGTGTCCCTCTCGTACGAAACCCTAGAACCATTTGCAGTCAAAAAAAACAGTGTATACAACTTATGATGAACAAATACATATACATAGAAATTCATAATGAGTGTGAGGGAGAGATAGAGATTACTTCTTGGTGCCCTCAGGAACGACGAATCGCTCGTAACGATCGGGAGCGTTCATGGTTTCCTACCTCTCTCTTGCTCGCCACTGGTGTGTGTGCGTCACAGAGTTGAGAGTATGGGTTTAACTGAGTCATAAGTTATAACAAGTTTTTGGGAAAATTTGAGTCAAACCCCTTCTATTTTATCATATGCTAGGGGCTAATCCGAGACACGGGGCTAATCCGAGACACGGTGCAACGTAAGTGAAAAGCGATAAATTTAAGAGGATAAAAAATTTAATGTTAATAATTTTGAAAAAGATGTTGGAGACCGTTAGGTGAGTTTATTTGAGACCCTCGAATAAACTTGTTGAAATTTGTCCTATTTAATATTATAGATTTGACACAAATAAAAATAATATTCTATAATATTTAATCTTCTTACAAATTCTATATTTTACTCATTTTTGGCTATAAATTTCATAATTTTTGAATCAAAGAAAGCTCCAACAAATCATATTAATACCTTAAGAAATCAATTTTAGTTTGCTAATTTTAACAGATTTGGTATGAACTTTTTTTTTTAATTCTAGTACCCAAATTGTTTGAACCAATTAATTTTTTTTTTTTTATAATTCATTACAACGGGTCCAATTAAGAATATATCTAAAATATATATATATAATTAAAAAAATATATATCACGGTGGTCCTAAACCACGAAATATAATAGAATTGACTTAAAAAAATATTAATTTATATACTTATAATCAAAATTGAACATTAATATATATACATATAATCAAAATCGAGTCAAATATATTATAAATTAAAAATCTAATTTATCAAAAAACATATTGTCAAAATATGTTCTATCAAAAAAAGTTCTACAAATATCATTTATAAAATATTATTTTTTTAATTAATATAAGTTATTACAAAATTATTAATTTATAAGAAGAGTAATGCTATTTAGGCCTAAAAATTTGACCTAATTTGCTGACATAATGATGTGGCTTAATAGGAATCATTGGATTAACACCAAGTTTCAATGTTTGATGGAGTCTTATAGCCAATCCAAAGGTCATAGTGAATTAAATCAGTAAATTAAGTCAAATCTTTATATCCAAATAGCATTGCTCTTATAAGAATATATTAGCGTTGAATTTTCTTAAGAGGTAAAAACAATTTGTCTTGAACTTTTGATTCAAGATATGTTAGTTTAAGATAATTAATTAAATAAATAAAATTAAAACTAACTAGTGTCCTTATTTTTTTTTTATTTGTTAAATTGATAAGTTTTTTTTAATCAAAATGTTATTATTATGTCTTATAAAAATTCAAATTGTTATACTACACATATGATATTAATGACAAATTTAACTCATTTAATTATAATAGTAATGAACGTCATGTGTTCCAAGATTAGTTGTAATTATTGACCGATTGGAAAAAAATATTAAAGAAAAAATGATAATTTATTAACCTTTAAATGAATGAATTTGAGATCATAGGATATGTCCAAAATTAGCTGCAATTGTTGACCAATGGGGGGGGGGCAATATTAAGGAAAAAAAAAGTAATTTCTTGACCGTTGGATGAATGAATTTAAAACCGTAGGATGAGTTTGTTGAAGCCGTCTTGTTTTATGTTATAGATTTAAGGACACCCCCTCTATTTTATCATATTTTTAAGAACACCCTCTCTTATTTTTAAATCTTCACTGACACCCTGTCAGTTAAAGACCTTAACTAAAATATAATTTTACTAAATTGCTCATAATATACTTTAGGAAAAACTTTATTCACACCCCTCTAAATAGACATACTAATGAGACCTCCTTTATTTTACAGTTTTTTTTACGTATTAAAATTCAGGGCGGCTAAAATTCGATTTGAACCGAATAAAATTTTAATCAAATCTCATTTAATTCTAATCGGCTCGAATTTTGATACGTAGAAATATATAAATTTTAATCGACTCAAATTTTAATACGTAAAAAATATATATTTTAATCTACTCAAATCGAATTTTATTTAGTACTTATAGTTGAGGTTGAGTTTAAATCAACTCGAATTTTAATATATGAAAATTTTAATTTTAATACTTAAAAAATAAAATTAATCAGCTCGAATAAATTTTAATATGCAAAAAAAAATTAATTAGCCCAAATTTTAATATGTAAAAAAATAAATTTTAGCGGCTCAAACTTTATGTAGAAAGATTGTTTGAAATTTCTGTAGGGACATTTTTTATATTTTAGATAGATTTTTTTTTGTTAGAAATGGCGGTTTAATAGCAGGAGGTGTCAGTAATGTTTTGAATAATAGAGGATGTGTCATTGAAGATATGATAAACTAAAGAGGATGTGGCTGAAATTTTTCCCAAATTTTTTAACTTTTTAGTTTTTTGAGTAAACTAAACAAATGTGTTACTTTCCCAAAAAAAAAGTTCTTAAATTAATTTTTGTATTAATTAAGTTTTTAAACTCTAAAATTTTAGTAATTAAATCTTTAAATTATTTTTTGTATTAATTGAGTCACTAAACTCTAAAATTTTAATAATTAAGCTCTTTTGTAAACATCAGTTAGGTTTTTAGATGAAATGTCTCACGTGCTCACCATGTGGACAACATATTAAGGTTATTTTTGACGGTTCATTTGAAAATTATCAGACGAAAAACCTCATTTCTTATACCCATTAATCGAAGACCATAACTCTAAGATCATAGTAATAATAGTTAGGCTTGTCAATCGTGTCGGTTGAGGTGAGTTTATCTTAAATCTTAAGAAGTTCGTGTCGAAAAATATTTTACTCATATTCAATTTATTTATTAATTATGTCATATTATATTCATATCATGTATGAATTATATATAATTAATATATAAATGAATCGTATATTTCTTTTAATTAATTTCACTCATATTCAATTTATATATTAATTAGTCTATTCGTCCATTAAAAATAACTCTTGTTCCGGATTTCATTTAATTCTCATGTTTGGTGATCTTTTAGAAATCTTCCTTTAACAAGGCATGGGTATTTTTTCAATTTTTCCAATAAGCTTGGTTCCTTGAATGCGCTTTTTCTTTGGCGCTTGGTTTAGACTATTGAGTTTAGCTCTTGTTGGGCATCCATGCCGATGTGTTACGTTCATTTGTACTATGCTTAAAGAAGATGATATATGATATAGTCTAACGAGAAATAATATGTTGGATTTCATTAAAAAAAAAAATTATAGACATGTATAGGGGGGTTTTCGTGTAATTAATAATAAACCTCAGGGTTCTCATATTATTTATAAAATATCAGGGGTGTTTGTGAAATATTTTCAAACTAAAAATTAAGTTATTATTATTTTACTTAAAATTTTGAATTATTATATTTCTAATAAAAGAAATTATTAGTTAGGAGGGTCTGTTGAAAACCAAAAAAGAAATGTGTGTAGTTGTGCTTCTGTGTATATTTATATGTGGAGGATTGAACATTTAATGATTAAATTTATAATTATAATATGTCATTTGGGGTTGAACAATGATAGTGGTGATACATTCATGAGTTTTATAAATGAGCAAAATTTAGTTGATTTTATTTATTATTTAAAAATTATGAATTTAATTGTATTCTATTATTATTATTTTTTGCACGAGGTATTTATTACATAGTAATATGGTGGATTGAAAATATGGTGATTAAATTTATAATTATGGTGTGTTATTAGATGGAGTGATAATAGAGGTGATGAATTCGATGAGTCTTATAAATGAGCAAGATTTTATTATTTCTTAAAGATTTAAATATCAATAGATTATATTAGTATTTTTTTTAAAAGACATTTGTATATGTGGTGTTATTTGGGGAGTTTTTATATATTTTTATGACAATTCCATTAATATAAAGAATATAATTGACGATATATTTCGAGTTATTTAAAAAAAATAATTGGTATGAATATATTTACAATCACACCCTAATAGATTAATATATTTATAAAGGCGGCCCCTCAATTATGTCTGTTCATATATCAGTTTCACATAGTACCACTCTATTAGTACTAGAGCTGTCAATTTTTGACACGACATGAACTGAACACGAAACTAATAAGTTGGACATGAAATTAAACGAGTTAATGGATTAAAACAAGTCAACACGCTTAAACACAAAAAAAATCATGTCGTGTTCATGTCAAAATCTAGTCAACCCGATTTTGACTTGATTAACCCATATATTTTAGGGGTTTAGGGAGACCGGTCCCTTTTTTGTAGACTTATTTGAGCTTAAGTATCCCCAAAAAACTTATTTTGAGATAAGTCCATTTTGATCTTCATTATCCAAAATACCCTCAATAGTTATATTTAGACAAAACTTGTTTTAAAAAACTAACAACTTCTAAATTGTGAATTGTATTAACATTAACAACTCATATCTTGAAAATTGTATTAGCATTAAAATTATGTTTATATATAAATATAATAGAGTGACACCTCACAACAGAATAAATATTCACATATAGTGTCACTTTATTGCAATGATTAAATTTTTAATTAAATTTTTTATTGAGCGTGTTATTGTTTGATGTTACTATTTTTTTGTTGAGCGTGTTACTGTTTAATATTACTATATATATGTGTGTGTGTGTGTGAGATAAAAAAATAATATTTATGTTAGCACAATTTTCAAATTATGAGTTGTTATATTTGAAAACTTTGAAACTAACAATAATAGATAATATTTATGGAAAGGGTAATTATCGAATATATTTCAAAAAGAATTTGAAATGTTTTAAAATATGTACTTATTGATAACTATTTAATAAAAAAGAGGATTTGATGGAGAATAAGTTTGAAGATAGTATTTAAAGTCAAATAAGTTCTATAAAAGGTACTCACAATCAATTATCCATATATTTTAAACGGGTTGACATGATTCAGACACAAACCCGATCTAACATATTGTAGATCCGTTTAACTAGTTTATGGCAGTATAGTTTGTCTATTACGTATGACTGATATAGTCTTAATATTATTACTTATTAGTTTTTACTTCTACTATCATAATTGGTAGTACAGTTATTGCTTT